TTATAAATATCTACATATTCTTTTTGCTGTTATTTTTACAAGATAGCAATATATAAAAAAATAAGGTTCAGAACTTCATTTTTTCACTTCTATCATAGATAAGAAAGAACATTATGTAAAAGAAGATCATTTGGATATATGGGGCTAGAATTTTTCCCACCCAATAACAAAATACACCAAAAATTTCTTAAGCTAGGTGTAAGAGTCTTATAAATTATATACATGTTACCTATACACTGTCAAAATAACAACAGAAACAAAACCCTGGAGTACTAAACAGTATTAACACAATCATCATTCCACTACCAAACCAGAAATGTAATTGTATCTGTACATACCTACCTTCTCTCCTGTTATGAGGGGTGAACTGTTCAGGCTTTCACCTAAAGCCACCCCCTCCTTATGTACCAGAGAAGAAAGAAGTACAGGAGGTTTCACCTACTCAATCGTTTTGCACCTTTATTGCTCTCTCCTGCATCATTAACTATTCTTTCTTTACTAGATGGCTGTATCTTAAAAATACTCCCAACTTCTTGACCTCATTTCCTCTGCCAGTTACCAACTCATTTCTCTGATTCCCTTTACAGCAAAAGTTCTGAAGAGTATTGTTGACATTCGTTTTCTTCAGTTCCTCACTTCCCAATTTCTCAATTCACTCTAATCACACCATTCATTGGAATAGCTCCTGGGTTCTAAAAGGTTATCCATCTTTCTTGTTTTCTTCAGCAATGGATTGACCTGAACTACTTACTGTGCCATTACTGGAAGGAACAGTTCTTACACAGATTTCAAATTTATTCACAGATAATTATTTATGAATTCTTAAACTTTTAAAATGTTTTCACAGATAGGTATATACAATAGCCTTAAACTTTAAAATTTATATTTAAAGCGAATACCTTTCGTGGTAAAAAACTTCACAGAATAGCAAAGTAAAGTTCTCCTTTCTCTCTCCCACAAAATACCATTAGTCTCGCCAAAGGTAACCAGTGTTAAAGGCTGAAAGTTTTCTAAATTGTTATCGACATATTACATATATATACAAAGTTTTTATCTGTGCATAAATGGTATCGTAATGACATATTTTGTCCTGAAACTTGCTATTTTTCACTTAATATTTTGTCTTTAAAATCTTTTAACTACTTCAGAGTATCTCAGTTTATGTAACCATGCCTCTATCGATGGACACTTAGACTATTTCTGGTTTCTTACTATTACAGAGACTGTTGCAATGAAACATCTTTTACATATATGTCTTGGTATACACTTGCATATATTCATGTAGATACCTAGAAGCAAAATTACTGACTTAAAGGGAATATGTGTCTTAAATTTTGAAATATACTGCAAAACTGTCTTCTAAGGCAAGAGCAACTTCTTTCAAAAGGGACCTTTTTCTCCATTTCCTTATCATTTTAATTCATGCCAATCTGTTCAGCAGTAATAAATATCTCATCTTAACTTTGTATTCCACATTAATATGAAGCTATGCCTCTTTTCACGTTTATTGGTTTGTAAGATTCTTCCTCTGAAAAGTGCCTTTTCTGTATCCCATGCTTACTTTTCTATGGGATTTATCTTTCTTATTGATTTGTAGGATTTTTAATATATGATTGAAAATATTTCCCCCAATCTGTCATTTGTTTTTTAAACTTTGTTCAAAGTGCTGATTGATGTGCAAACCTATTTAAATTTATATAGATAATCAATTTTTAACTTTGTGCCTTCTTTAGAAAAAAGATGTAAAAAAAATATCCCCTTATTTTCTTATAAACTTTTTATCTTTACCATTTATATATAATGCATCTAGTAGTTATTTTGGGTCCATGTTGGGCAGGGCTATAAATAGCTATTTTTCCAAATACATAGTCAAGTGACCCATCACAGTTTATTGAACAGTACCAATCCTTTCTCCACTGAGACCTTTATCATAAACCAAATATTATATGTAGACATATATGCACATACCACTAGGCCCCCTGAAATCTCTATTTTAACTCATTAGGCATTTACCAGAAATCTTATTTATATAAT